TAGAAAAGACCAATCGTGATTAGAGGAAAAAAAATATAAATTTTTTAATTTATCATAACCTGCTTTCCTAAATTGGTTTATTTTCTAGTTTTTTGTTTAATTGTAGATACTATTATGTATGTTATAATATTTTTTACATTATGGAGCTATGCTGCAGCTATATTAGTAGTATAGTTTTAGCACGAATCGGTCGGCTTGACCGGGGAAGGACCACGCTCTCACAAAATACAAACGTAGAAAGCAGCTTTTAACGCTGCTGTGTTTCATTTTGTGTGAGTGTAGAGTACCGCAGACCCGTTTTACTAGAAATGAGGCATTACATCTTAGTCCTCACGGGTAACAACGCATCTGAATTTTGATTTGTAATGGAGGGTAGATATAGATGTCTATGGGCCACAGCAACCACTTACCGTCAGGTGACTGTGTGCTCATGTGGTACCTTTATACAATAAAAAAAAATACATTTCACATAAAAATCGGCATGAATAATGAATATTCTTAAATATATGAAATTTAGAAAAGTATTCGTGCAAATACAAATAAAAATTTATCACTTATCCTTATTTCTTACAATATTGCACTTCACTTACCTTTCAGTTTTAGTTTATAAAATTTAATGAGTAATATAAATAACCAGCACCCGCCTCGGCTACGCTTTTAATTTAGCGTCATTTTGGTGTGCGATAATAAACATTTCTAATAAAAAATATACTGGAAATGCTAATAATATTAATAATATTTCCTTTAACGACTCCTGCTAAGCATAAAATGCTTGTGCTAGGAGGAGTGTTTAATAAAAGTACTCAAATGACTGATTCAATACCAAGTCTTTTTGAGTTTGAAGTCCACAGCCTGCTATTAGGCTACTATCGCTTATACCAATTTATTTTATGAAATTTATGATTTAAAAAATAAAATAATTTTGATAGCATATTATATAACCTAGATCATTCTTTGCATTAAACTCTACCTGTTCGTGCAGTTTTATTACAATTGGTTCAATAACTCCGAAGATGATCCATTTGCCATTTCGCTTGCCATTCGTGGCAACTGTGGCAAATATCCTCCCTATGAGGTAATCTATGGTGAAGCCTATGTTCAGCAGTGTATTTTAATAAGCTGTTACGGTAACCACCTGAGGACAATAAAAGTTATTTCGATACTACAAACAGGCAATTCAATATTATTGTTTGCGCCCGATGGCCTCGTGCGGGGCGAGGGGGGTTAAGTGAGCTACACGCGAGACGATATCGGTGGCGATCTAGGGTGGAAAGAAATCGGGGCTTTTATCGGGGCAGACCCTACACACGAGCCTGCCTAACAGTACTCGTTCGGACTTGGAGCAGAACGCATATGCGGTAGAGAAGAAGCGAAGAGAATTGCTGGGTGAAAAGATGGGTCGAAAAGAGACAAAAATTAAGCCACATAAACGTACTAAATGGTCTGTAATCCAAAGACATGATAAATTTTTTCCGAATGGATGAAGACAGTTTTTACAACCTTCTAGAAATGATTTCGCCACTTATATAAAAACATCAATTTCTCCTACCTTTGCTATTTTGTTATTTCTTCTCTTTGTTCATTTCTGCTTTGGTCAAAATCGGGTTATGTACTACACACAACAAACAATGAAATACTTTTGTTTCATTTTCATTTCATTTTTTTTACGTTACCCCCCTACACTAAGATTTTCTCTTGTATTGTGGGGGCAGTTTACAAACATAAATTGCACAAGGACGAACATCCAGACCCGGAACAATTACTTGTAGGTCATACAAATACTTGTTCCGTGCGGGATTCGAACCCGCGACTCCCAGCGCAGCCACTCATTGCTAAGCCACTGCGCCACGGAGTCGTCATAATATGTATACTTTTTTTTAAATGTAACCTTTATTTATGGACTAAAGCCATCAAAAAATAAAATAGCTTATATCTTTTTTATAACATAAAGAAACCTTTAATTTAGGACATACTCCCTTCTATATAGCATGATTGTTAAAGTGGAGATGCTGCAGGAATAAGAGTTATTTGTTGATGAGAGGACGAAGGCACGTAAGAGATCGAAGTGTGGTCTTATGGAGATGCTGTAGGAATAAGAGTTAGTTGTTGATGAGAGGACGAAGGCACGTAAGAGATTGAAGTGTGGTCTTGTGGAGTTGCTGCCGGAATAAGAGTTAGTTGTTGATGAGAGGACGAAGGCACGTAAGAGATCGAAGTGTGGTCTTGTGGAGTGGCTGCAGGAAAAAGAGTTAGTTGTTGATGAGAGTACGAAGGCACGTAAGAGATCGAAGTGTGTTCTTGTGGAGTTGCTGCAGGAATAAGAGTTAGTTGTTGATGAGAGGATGAAGGCACGTAAGAGATAGAAGTGTGGTCTTGTGGAGATCGTGGAGGAATAAGAGTTAGTTGTAGATGAGAGGACGAAGGCACGTAAGAGATCGAAGTGTGGTCTTGTGGAGTGGCTGCAGGAAAAAGAGTTAGTTGTTGATGAGAGTACGAAGGCACGTAAGAGATCGAAGTGTGGTCTTGTGGAGTTGCTGCAGGAATAAGAGTTAGTTGTTGATGAGAGGATGAAGGCACATAAGATATATGAGTGCGGTCTTGTGTTGATAGCGTTGGAATAGGTGTTAGTTGTTGAGGAGAGGCTTTATCTTCTCCTTACTTACTTCATACACCCTACTTTACGAACGGCAATAAAACAATTAGTTTAGTAGGCATTCTTGACCTCACGTCACTTAGCAGGGTCACAGGATAGGGTGGATATGATTTGAATTTCGATAGATTTTAATTAATTTATTTATTTTATTCATTTTTATTGTTTTTTGTAAAATATCAGTGCCATAGGCTTCTACTCCGCTCACATGAATAAAATGTAAAAATTTTGTTATGTAAAAAAAGGTCATTCAGTATCACTGTTTCGTTAACGTCCTTCCGCGAGGGCTGCCGGCAGCGACTGCCAAAAGATATCGGGCCGATGCACCTACACAAACGCAGTACGGAGGGGGCGGGGCCCCGATCTAGGAAGCATCGGCTGCATTTTTGCTCCTGCCAGCCGATTAAGGAGGCAATATCGGCCACGACTTAGGATGGCCCTACATACGATACGATTTACAGGCAATCTAGGAGGCATCCCCACTGGAGTAGTGACCCTAGATCGCCACCGATATCATGTCGTATGTAGCCCGATTTAGCGCTAGCTGGATCGTATGCACAGCTCTGTTGCCCAGTCGGCAGCGAAGCCGGACGGCGGTCGGCGGAAAGCCTTGAGCGGTAGGACGGCGCGAGTTGAACGCCGGCGTTCCCGGGTCGAGTTAGAGGTCGCGAGAATGATATAATTGTGCGTCGAAAGGACGGCCTACTCATGTTATCTTATATTAGTACGTAACTTTATAACTAGGCTTATTTCTTTAGTTTTTTTACGCGAATCCCGGGTCGATCATACGTTGAGGTATTGTTTGTGACTCTTACGGTTGTGCGCGGCAGGTGTTGACTTGAATGCCTAAGACTTGTGTTAATTGTGCACGCCATTTTGAATTTACTATTGAATATTAGAATATAACCTAGACCGCCTCGAATTTAGTGTCTGTTTTGAATGTGTTACGTGAAGGAGGCCGACTTGGAATTTGTAGTGATTAAAGTAACTTTTATGTCGTTAATTGCATCGACGCGTTAGTAGTTTTGTGCTACGTGAGCCTGGTACATTGAACTTTGACCAACCGTCCTTGAGTTGTGCCACGTGTCTATGTTTAACGTCGATTAACTTTTTCTGGTTGAACTTGAAGTTAATTAATTGTATAATAAAGTGATAAACTAATATAGTGAAAGTAGAAGCGGAAGTTTTTTTTGTTGAACGCCCCTTGGATGGATCCCACATTGGATAGAGGCAAGCCTTGTGATCTGCTGTCCAATACCAGCCGGGATGTCAGGTTACACATTGAACACTTTACTGAACACAACTTACATGCACCTCACTTTCACCTGAATAGGCCATTTTGAGCCCGACCTCCTGTTACCCGTCGAGTTGTACTCCTGATGGCCCCGAGTTCAACGACCTTTGTCAGGGTAACTTTAGGCCGTAACAATAATTTATATGGATTTTTTTTTGATTTTCCACCAAGGAGTATACCGTCCTTGACGGGAATTTATTGATATTTTTACACAATAGGTTACATTAAATGGCTTACACTATATTTTGCAAGCTGTTATTCTCTAAGACAAGATAACTAACATCAATGCGATTTGATACATTGATTAGGTATCAGTCCATTTAATATTATCAGTATTATAAAATTATTTTTCACTGAATGAAATTATTAATAACAATATAAATTTGTATAATTATTCCCAGTAGCATTACATATTTTAGAAAATTAGAAAGAGTACCGAATTAACAAAAAAAAAAAAAAACGAATAGAAAAAATTACAAAATTAATATAAATATAATACAGGGTATTCTTATGTCTACTGCTTATAATTTAGTCCTTAGCTTATAATTTATTAACATTCATTAAATTTGTGCCTTATTATCAATAATATAATATGAGTCATTAAGTTGTACAGATATGATTAGCAAACGAGCATAGGTAAATGAAAGAGATTTACTTATGTTATATATACAAGAAAGGTGAGAAAATAAGATTTAATTTAAGTAAAATACAAGGTATTCCTATATCTATTGCTTAGGAGTTAGACTATAGCTTATGATTTATTAACAATGATTAAAGCTAGTGTCTTATAACCAAAATAATGTATGCAACGATTCGTGCGAACGTGATTAGCATATAAAAGAGAATTATAGAGAAGTTGTACATAGCCTTATACAGTTTTTTTTTTATTTATTTTATTATTATTACCAGAGTAATCTTAGATTTACATATTGTATTCTTAAGAACAAAGATAAAGTTTGAAAGGAGGAGTGATAATTATATATGTTAACTTAAATTATAAAAGTTATTAGAAAGTTTATACACAATTTATATCCTATGTATATTAGTTTAAATAATTTACAATTTATTGAATCCTTTAAGCTTATCTATGATGTAATTAATAAATGTAACGAAGGATTCAATAGCACTTTGTTTATTTGAAAGTTCCGTTACACAGTACGGTGATATACGTAGATTGCTACAAAGCATCTCGTGTTTTAGTCTATTGTACTCAAATCTAGGACACTCCCTCAACAAATGAGTTAACGTTTGAGTAGTGGTATTGTCACAGGGGCAGAATGGATCGGCAGCGATTTTGAATCTATGCAGATATTCCTTGTGGTAGCCATGACCTGTTAAAGCCTGCGTTAATTGAAATGATACTTTGGTTGCTTTCCATAGTGCACAAATGTCCGTCAATTTTGGGAGTAATTCTTTTGTGCATGCTCTTTGTTCCGCGCTTTCATATCTTGTCTGCCAAGTTCTCCAAGTTTTTTCCCTCATAGTCCTTTTTACAAAGCTCATAGGGAACTTCGCGTAGTCAGGAGTTTTGTGTTGTGTGGCAGCGCCTTTGGCTGTCTCATCAGCAATTTCGTTACCTGCGTCGCCCGCATGGCCCTTAACCCATGAGAATATGAAATTAAGATCCACTTGAGCAGCTGTATATATTGTGTCATGAGTCTTTGCCACAATGGGGTGGGTGTTAGATCTCTTTTGGAGTGCTCTCAGTGCCGCCTGAGAGTCACTCAAGATCTGTATAACCTCCTTGCAGCCCATGTGCATCCTTGTGCCCCTTTGGTGTCTTTCGTCTCCTTGCTTCAATCTCCGGTCCAAAGTCCACTCGCAAGCCTCTTTAATCGCCAAGAGTTCCGCTTGGAACACAGAGCAGCTAGTATGTAGTTTCAGCCTCTTTTTATATATAACTTTTGAACCTTCGAAACAGACGAAAGCCGCTCCCACACCGCCATTCTCGAGCTTGCTTCCATCTGTATAGATTCGAATAGGCGCTGTTTCCTGTTCTAGATTTTCCGAATTCAGGTCTGCACACTCAATACTTATTCTTTTTGACGGATGTAATAACTCATGCACAGGTGTGGGCCTCTCATATTGTATATCTCTTGGTATTAAGTTGGTTGCCCCTTTCAGTCGAACTGTCTCAACTTCATGTACCTACAGGACCCTGAGGTCCAAGGGCACAAATTGAGCCAGAGCGACCGCTGCCACCGTTGAGACTGTCCTAAAGGCCCTAATTGCCTTTATTGCAAATCCCCTTTGGGCCGACTCCAAGAGCTTCCTTACATATCGTTTTTTCGCCGCTTGACCCCAGATACCTGCTGCGTATGTAATTGTAGGCTCAATGACCTGTCGATAGATGGTTTGCACGTTATCGGGATGGGCTCCCCAGGTTGGTCGGGTGTAAATGCATAGTTTGTTGAAAATTCGCATAGCCTTCCCAACAACGTACTTAACATGATCAGCGAACAGAAGCTTTCGGTCAATGATCATGCCTAAGAACTTAATACTCCTTTGAAACGCTAAAGTGTGTCTCCCCATTATAAGGTGTGCTTCTTCAGCCTTGCGCGTGAATGCAATGGCTTGCGTCTTAGTGGGTCCAAATGTCAATTTGACACTTTGCCCCCATTCCAATATGATTTCCAGAGCGCGATTGGTATTTGTTTGTAGGGTATTTACATCCTTTGCGGAGACGATAAGTAAAACATCATCCGCAAAGGCTTGCAAATGACATCCACTCGGAAGTTCAGCCTCAAGCAACTCGTCCAGTATCACGTTCCATAAAATGGGTCCACACGCTGAACCTTGTATGCAGCCCTTGGTGTTGTTCTTAGTAACCCGCGCTCCTGCGTATTCTAATGTAACTGTGCGGTTCGTCGTATAGCTCTCTATTAAGTGGAAGATGTTCTTGGGGCATCTTATAGCACGTAGTCTCTCGAATAGTGCGGGCCACCACGCGTTGTCAAATGCGGAGCGGATGTCTAAAGAAACGCCCAGCACCTGTTTGCCATTCTTCTTAGCCGCTTTTACGATACTGAGTGCCGTATCTATAGCTGTAATCGTGCTGGTTTGTTCCTTGAATCCAAACTGTCGCCCGTTGAGTAGTCCCGCTTTGGTTGCGCAATATGTGAGACGCTTAATGTATAATTTTTCGAGCAATTTTCCAAAGACTGGCAAGAGTCCTATAGGGCGGAAGGAGCTTAATTCGCTATAATCAGTCTTGCTTGGCTTTGGTATGATTTTAACTTCGGCTCTCTTCCACTGCTGAGGAAAGTATATGGATTAGGAATATATTATCAATAATACACAGATAATATTGTGAAGTAAGACTTAAGTTATAGCCTATACGTCGTACCGTGAATGTATGAATGTTAATAAAAGTGTTTTCTTCAAGTATTTTGCAGTATTCTTTATTGGAAAAAGTCGGATAATCTATAACGTAGTTATTCCATCATCTGCCTCAAGATTTTTCTACATTTTCCTTAGTTGACTTTTTTACGATACCTAAGGGATTACTTAGGATGATGGATTGTCTTACATCAGTATTACGCTCACAGTACTCATGCTTATATTTACTTTCAAATGGAGTTATTCGTTATTTCAAACATGTATCGCAAAAACAACATGTTTTATTGCAGTTGCATTAACGAATATTTTTTTTAAAATTCAGTACATAGGTTGGTTTCAAAGGTAAAAAAAATTTATAGTCTCCATTGAATAATACGGACAAACATATACCATACATGTGTATAGATTAAAAAAATTTTAAACAAAACACATTGATTGAACTAGAAAATTGTTGTATAGTCATGGGTATTTCAAGTCGAGTCATCAGAAAGTATGTGCACAGTAGAGTATCCTATACCATATCGCAGTTACTGGAACAAGATTTATAAGTAGTATATGCTCTGCAGCGTACTAACACATATTAACGGTATAAAATACGGCTTATGAGTTTTAATGTTACAACATTTTATGGTGTAAATATTTAATGCTGTCATCAACCAACTAATACAGCTTCCTAATTATTTAAGTTTTAATTTCTAAAATCAAATTAAACGTTGAAACTCGTATTCCATTTTTCTCTATATTCACCTCCATTTGGATGTTTCGATGACAGCTATACGCAAGCCATTAATTAATCTTAATGCGGGGAATAGACATGTCATCAGCAAATATTAAGTTTGTTAAAGCGTAAAGTGATATAATACTTGAAATGTTACACGTGTCATAAGAATTTTATTAAAAGAAGTAATATTATACAAATAATGCCATAATTTAAGCACAAAATAGTAATAAAATTGTACCGGAAAAGACGCATTAGAACCGGTGCCAACTCTTTAGCACACGTTCTCAGTAAAATTGGGGGATTGCGTCAGGCCCAATCGACTTGTGGGTGTCCAGGGAGAGGAGTGGTTTGCGAATCGAGCGCTGTGCGAACCGCACCTCCGGCATGGAGCACTCACACCGCGGGATGGTCGTCGGCGTAGTCCCCCAAAGAAAGACGCAAAGAAAGAGCCTAGCAGATCGGCTTCCTCCTTGGCATGGGCCATTGAGTTGTCCTCCCTCTGCAGAGATGGAAGAGATGGCTGACAGAAATATAGACAATTCATCTTTGATTGTATCGGTCAAAGCACTGTGGAGCTTTAAGAAGAATAAGTATTTTATGCGCCTTTAAATTTATATCGTCGTTAAAAAATGTTGTACTTACTTCAAATTTATAAATGAGGACTTACAATCTTTCGCTTACCAGATGTCGCTAGCTTGAACTGAGATGAACTTATTTGTTACACAATGTCATTATCACTTATAGTCAACCAAATCTAAGAAATACATTTTGACAGCTGTCAGACTTATTGCACCAGGTATAACAATCAAAAAACGTACAATATTCTATACATTAAAAAATTGATATCGATTATTTAGAGTTGGTTATCATTTATTTTACAGTTTGGTTTGAATAATTCCAGAATAAATTAAAAACGGATAATTTAAAACACAAGGTTTATTAGTTTCTACATATTTGTTATTACTGCTTATTTATAGAGCCACAGTTATAAAAATTTAAGATTAAAACTAGATTAAAAATAAATTTATTCAATCACTTTCAGTATAACTAGTTGAGCTGTCGTTGTTTAGATTAATTATTATTTGTTTTTCAATAATGCAGTCAAAATTAATGTCTCTTTCAAAGTCATCCATAATAATTTTTTTTCTACCAGTTTTGCCCATTGATCCTTTGTGATATGGCTTATACGAATATAGAAGAAACAGTCCAAAAAGTTAAAGCCGAGTCTCAAAATAAATGGCGGATATTGAAATTACGTAGTGGTTTTTCAGCGCGGCCTTGTATGAGTTTTTTTGTCTACACAAATTTACGTTCACAAATTAAAAAAAATAAACTTGTTTTGTTCATGATTCATGTTATTTAAGGAATTTTAAAAATAAAAATTAAATTAAAGAAATAATATAATAAGAAAATTAATGATTCGATTATTTGAATATTTTTACCCATTATTTGAATATTTTTGACGATTATTCGCATAACAATGAATTTTAATCATTCAAACATTACGTAATGTACATAGCGACGTATCATTGATACATCAAGTAAAAAAGTTGATAATGGTTATTACTTAATATTTTGCTTTGTTTGAAAGATTCAAATTTAAATTAGTGATAAAGAACTATGCACGTTGTAGAGAAATATAGATAACTTTATAATTCTTCGGATTTAGGTAAATGGTTATTTTAAATCGTGTGAGTACGCTTGTGCAAAGTTATTGCTGAATGATTAATGTGATATGTCAAAAGGTATTTCTTAGATTTGGTTGACAATAATTGAGTTAGGAGTAAGTTGCATTTTGAATGGAAGTTTTTCGATTTCTAGAGACGAAATTACTAAGCCCCTTAAGTAGAGACAGTAGCCTAACGGCAGGGTGCGGACCGCGAACACAAAAGGTTGTGGGTTCGAATCCGCCATTCGACTACTGTCGTGAACCACTCCTGACACAAACTTTTAGGCTTACTAGGAGTGGCTAAAGGGAATATTAGTAATGTAAGTAGCATTGCTTGTATTTTAAAAAAAAATAAGTAATTTGGTTTTTCAGGATTATCATCAATTCATCCATTACAGCCTATCAAAACCGCCTGCTGAACGTAGCTCCCGCATAAATTGCTTTGAAGGGTGGATATTTGCCGTAGTTACCATTGAAGGTTTAAGCTGGTAGGCAACAGCAGTTTTTTATTATGTTGTAATTAGGGAGTTGCTGCTGTCCATGTCTTATAGCATTTTTCTCTGTCACCTGATACGACACACAAGGAATGATAAAGCACATGATGGAACCTCCAACGCCACCAATACAATGTTTGAAATAATTATACCTTAGTTTCGATTTGCTTTATTGAATACCAACAAAGCATCTGGATTTTGATTCATAACCGAGGATATATGTCTAAGGGCCCAAGTATTCACTTGCAATTGCCATTAGTGGACAGCGTGCTCCTTTTTCACACTTATTCTATAAAATATTGTAGTTAATAACCTATACTCTTATATTTTATAAAATATTGTAGTTAATAACCTATACTCTTATATTCTATAAAATATTGTAGTTAATAACCTATACTCCTATATTCTATAAAATATTGTAGTTAATAACCTATAATCTTATATTCTATAAAATATTGTAGTTAATAACCTATACTCTTATATTCTATAAAATATTGTAGTTAATAACCTATACTCCTATATTCTATAAAATATTGTAGTTAATAACCTATACTCTTATATTCTATAAAATATTGTAGTTAATAACCTATACCCTTATATTCTATAAAATATTGTAGTTAATAACCTATACTCTTATATTCTATAAAATATTGTAGTTAATAACCTATACTCTTATATTCTATAAAATATTGTAGTTAATAACCTATACTCTTATGTTTTTATTTTAAAACGATTTCTTATTGAAAGTAAAAATGAGGCGAAAATATTTGCATTTTTGATTAATCAGACAATAACATTACATTTAGACACTTTTTACGTGGTAAAACCGCGCTGCAACTATATTATGTTTGTAGCAGTAATGGGTCGGCTCGACTAGGTTAGGACCACGCTCTTATAGAATGGCCGCGTAAAATAATAGCTTAATGCAGCTGTTTCGTATGAATGGCATCAGGCTCAGTCCCCAGGGGTAACAACGCATCTGCATTTTAAATTTTAATTGAGGTTAAATATAGATGTCTATGGGCTACAGTATCCTCTTACCATCAGGTGGACCTTGTGCTCGTTTATCACACTACTTATTCTACATTTCCCCAGAGTTTTTAAAATATGAACAAAGCGCTATTACATTAGAATTTTCCTTCACCATGCCACCCCATTTCAAGGGATCACTCAATCGTTGTCATTATTAAAAATGAAAGTACTATACAATCTTGGTGCAACATGAACAATATTAAATTTAAGGACTATGATAATAAAACCT